TTTTTTTTTGGTTTTTCGAGACAGGGTTTCTCTGTATAGCCCTGACTATCCTGGAACTCACTCTGTAGACCAGGCTGGCCTCAAACTTGGAAATCCACCTGCCTCTGCCTCCCAAGTGCTGGGATTACATTTTTAAAAATAATACATAGGATATAAGATTTATTATCCAGCCCATATAAAGAGTTTCCAGTACTTAATAAGGAAACAAGCCAACACTATTGGGCCAATGATTTAGACAGACTTTCACCAAAGACAACATGTGTATAAAGAATAAGCACGAACTGGAGAGATGGCTCAGTGGTTAAGAGCACTGACTGCTCTTCCAGAGGTCCTGAGTTCAATTCCCAGCAACCACATGGTGGTTCACAACCATCTGTAATGGGATCCAATGACCTCTTCTGGTGTGTCTGAAGACAGCGACAGTGCACTCACATACATAAAATGAATAAATCTTTAAAAAGAAAGAAAAGAAAGAAAGAAAGAAAGAAAGAAAGAAAGAAAGAAAAGAAATTCAACATCAGCAGTCACTAAGGAAATGCAAATAACTATGATAACTTATTACTACCCACCTATTGGAACGTCCATATTTTAAAATATGGGCTATACCAACTATTGGTGAGGATATGAAACAAAGGATTGTTATTTACTGCTGATAGAGGACTGAGTTAGCCAGAGCTAGGCTGACTCCGTGACAGGCTGCACACTGACAGTTTAGGAGACTTAGTTAGGCCTAAGTTTCAGTTTCCCAGAAATGAGAACCTGGATCTAGGAACCTATGATCAGTCAACAACAGCCACAGGCAGCCAATTCAAGAACACCTTGTCATCTGGCCTGAAGTAAGAATAGGTAGCTAGAATGAATAAGCAACTCCCTGGGAAGTTTCCAGAACCTAACCAATTATAGAACCAATCAGAATCCTAGAGATAGAGGTATCAATCAAGGTAAAAGAGTATATACCCCTCCCTGGAATTTTCCTAACTGACAATAAAAGTTGGGCCTGTGAGTCCACCAGAGGTCTCCATTCCTGAATGGGGAGACTCTTGCATGCAGAAAATTCAGCTGAATAAACACTCTGCTTTTGTATACTAATGGAGTCTGGGGTCTTTCTTCAGAAGAAAGTAAATGTCTGTTCAATGATTAGGGCATTAAAGTACGTTGAAGCTTTGCCCATAATAATTAAAGTTGGAAACAACTTAGGTGTCCATTGAGAGAGAGAGAGAGAGAGAGAGAGAGAGAGAGAGAGAGAGAGAGAGAGAACGAGAGAGAACCACAGAGTAAAATAATTGTGTTGCTCTTTGCCTAGTGGTGCTATCGAGTGGTCTATCATGAGGGTACCAACTTCATGGATGGGTTAATCCATTGAGAAGTCTGTGAGGAATAGGCTAATAGAAGGTGGAATATGGTTGGAGAATGTGGGGGTTTCTGTCTTAGAAGAGTAAGTCCAGTCCCTAGCCCCTTCTTCTGCCTCCTTCTGCTTCCCAGTTGCCATTAGGTGAACATCTCTAATCTACCACATCCCCCCTGGCATGATGCCCTGCCTCAGTGCAGGTCCAAAGCAAACGGAGCCAGATGATCACTGACTGAAATTACAAGCCAAAATATTTCCTCGTCTCAAATCGCTCATGACAAATGAGCACGACAGCTCCTCGTCACTAAAAAGCACAGGCTTTTGATACAATCAGCAATATGAGTGATATCTCAGGTTAACTATTTATTCAAAACAGTCAGGCCTGGGGCTAGGCCAGAAGCACATTGGTTAAGGGCAGCTGATGCTCCTGTAGAGGACCTGAGCCCCCTCCACTCCCCCAACCACGTCACTCAGCTCACAACTGTCTGTAACTCCAGATCCAATGGATGACACACCTTCTTCTGGCCTTGGAGGATACCCACATGTATGTGCACACAGAGACAGGGATATAGAAATACTAAAAATAAATATTTTTAACCCAAAATATCCCTGATTCTATAAAATTCCATCTTTATTGGTTCAAGAAAATTAAAAATAATTGTCAGTATCAGAAAGTGGTTCGACTATTCCCTGGGGATAAAAACGAGGCCAAGAGGAGAGATCAAGGAGTGTAAACTTTGAGAATGTTGAATATATTCACCATTAAAGTGGAAACTTCTGGTTTGTTTGGAGAGTTAGTTATATCAAATGATATTTTTCTGGGACACACAGGTGAAAGGATGTTTTGATATAGCAACACGTGAAAGGACACTTGATGGAGGTGTATAAGTGTGACCCCACAGACAGTGGGAGATGGGCACTGAGCACTGGTTCGGTTTGCTCTGTCTCCCTAGTCTTCGTTAATGACATACGTGATTGGTTCACCGTATATAGAATTGTTGATTTCAACTTGTGGTAATGCTGCCATTGAGAGGCACTTGCCAAAGAATTGCTGCTGAAGTCCCTGAGGCAGCTTGCTACTTCTGCATCCTTGCCTCAGATGGTTTTGCAGGGTTTGACTGTAGCTGCTGGTTCTTGCCTTGTGTCTGCCTGCCTAGCGCGCACTGGTCTGCAGCTGCTGAGTCGTATTTTGTGTTTGCTATGGGACTGAATTGCTGAGAAAAAGATCAATCTCACCGCCAAGAACTGTTGCTGAGCAGGTCCATGCCCCCCACAGCCTAATAACTTTTCTCTTCTACTGTGTCTGCTGGGTGGTGGGTTAGAGGAGAGGTTGAACCCTTATTAAAAGTAGGTTGCAAAAAAGTTATATCTACACACCACTTTTATTATAATGAATGTTATAATGACTGCATGAATATTTTAGAACTATAAAATTATTTAATTCAAATATTTACAGTGTGTTTCGATTGAATTAGACCTGGAAATCTGCTAACAACAAAACAAGACAAAAACTCTTACATTCATCCTATCCAGTTCCTGACGGTCCTTAGCAGGATTCTTCTGTAAGTGAGCAGCTCTACTCAGGGCCATTGCTCTCACCATGCCTATGCAGCAACTGGATACAGACAGACGGACAGACAAACAGACAGGCACACAGACACACAGAGACAGATGAGACAGCGGCAGTGAGCTCACATAAGCTCTGTACTGTGATTTGGAAATCTGTGATTCCCAAAGGGTCACATGCTACAGACTTGGTCCTCTCCTCCCAAGATGGCACTATGGGGAGACACTGGAAGCTTCGGGAGGGAGGAGGGGCTAGTGGAGGCCTTTAGGTCTCTGCCTATGGAGGTGTGCCCACGGCACGGACTGTGTTATCCCAGTCTCTTCCCGTTTGCTTCCTTGCTATAAAATGAGGAAGTTGTTCTCTCTCACGGGCTCCTGAAGTGATGACGCGCCTCCCGGCTTCAGGCTCATAGACTGGGATGCTGGAAGCTAAAGCAAAACTTTTCCCTTTGTAAATTAATTATCTCAGGTATTTCATTATAGCAATGAAAAGCTGACTAATATTCCTAGCATGCTGTACTCATTACTGATCCTTTAAGTGCTTAAAATCCAGACACCATTAACCATGATACTTGACCATAATAATCATAGCACTGCTTCCACGGGCAGTAAGCTCTGCTTGCTGAATTTCTCACCCGGTGGCCTTCCTGACACATTCCTTTCACCTCTGAACATCTGTAAACTTGAGGTGAACTGAGAGCCTTCCACTGTTGTGTTCTACTTTATCTTTTGAGACAGTCTCCATCTCAGTGCAGAGCTTACTGGTTTGGCTATCCTGACTCCAAGGAATCTGCTTATCTCTGCTTCTCCCAGCCTCGAGCTCTAGGGACGGACATAAGCTTGCCTCTTTTGTAGGTGCTGGAGATAGCACTCGGGTGTTCACACTCACATGGCAAGCGCATTACCCACTGAGCCATCTTCTAGGCCCCAAGACTACAAACATCTTCAGTGCTTCCCAGTACATATAAAAGTGTAAGACATATCTTATTTATGCAAGTAAGTCAGTCCTTTTTAAAAAACCAACACTCAGCTCTGCATAGCACTTTTCCTATCCTTCCTCTGCCAAAACTGTTTCCAAAAGAATCCTGTATTACCACTGGGCACAGTGTTGACACAAGTTCAAAAACCTAAACTAGGATTTCATTCTTTTTCTGAGACTGGAACTTTGTTACACAGCCAGCCTGGCCTTGAACTCACCACCTTCCTGCTTCATTCTGGTTTGTTTTTTCAAGGTTTTAACCTCTGTTGTTGTTACTTTGATATCTGTCCTACCTTACATGTATTAACCTTCAAATGGACAGCAGGAACCAGAAGGTGTCACCTGTACAAGTGGCTGGAGTATTGCGCCAACCGCTTGGCCAGTGAAATTGCGTTTATCTCTAATTCGGCGACTCCTATTTCACGCTCCTCAGTGACCTCTAAGTTGTGCTCCTTCATCTTTTGGAGAGTGTCTTGGTCAGTAAAATCAGGAAGCATTACGGTCAGCAAATTTACCATCCACCGGATCATAGCTATATGTAATTCATCCATCTGTAGAAATGATTACAATCCAAGCAGTCTTTTTAGAACATTATATCACATTTAAATAATAAAAGCAGGAAGGGGGCTGGGAAAGAGGGCTCAGCCTTTACAGCACTTGTAAGCCAGAGACTTCAAGCACATGTTAGGTGGGCATGCCTACATGCCTGCAATTCCAGTCCTGGAAGGCAGAGGCAGGGGACCCCCAAAGCAAGTTGGCTAGTAAGACTAGTCATACAGGACAGCTCCGAGTTTGGTTAGGAGACCTTGCCTCAGTGAATAAGTTAGAAGTGCCACTGAGGAAGCTATCTGACATTAGTCTCAGGCCTTCACAAGCATGCTCACATGCACCTGCATACATATACACACAGCACGCACATACACATGAAAAGAAGACTTTTAAAAAATAGGAATGGTTATACCCATGTCCAACTTTCAGCAACCCATAATTCTTAAAGAAATCCGATAATTTCTTAGCTACTGTAATCCTATTTTTCTTTTCTAACTATTGAAATGATGGAAGGGGATGTCTCAGTGGGCCCATGTCGAGGTATCTCTTCCCCCTGAGGGACCAGTCACACACAGGTATAACAGAGAATAGAGTTTATTCAGGGCATGGGGAGAGGAGCCAGGAGAGTAGTAGAGGCAGAGAGAGAGAAAGAGAGAGAGAGAGAGAGAGAGAGAGAGAGAGAGAGAGAGAGAGAGAGGTAGAGGAGTAGAGGCCGGCCATGACGAAGTGGAGAGAGGGGATAGGGAAAGGGAGAGGGGCAAGGGGACAGACAGAACCTATAGGCAAGAGAACAGAGAGCAGGAGAGAGAGGAGGGGGCAAGAAGCCCCTTTTATAGTGGGTAGGCCTTCCTGGCTGTTGCCAGATAACTGTGGAAGTGGAGTTTAGACAGAATACTGACAACTATTGTGTGTTAAACTGTTTTTTGTCTCTGTATCTTGACCAAGGGTCATTAAGTCATGAGAGTTCAAGTTGCCAAATTGTGCCCCAAGGCATTTGAGTGCTCTACAAATAACAAATACAAATAACTCAAAAGGACCACCAACCCCCAATCTTTAATTGAAGGAAATAGTGATTGGATATCTCTTATGTGCAGTGTGAACTTGGCAGCACACACTGTGTTATCCAGGACAGCCCATACCCCCATTCTACCTGCTCCCCCAACTTCTCAGAGGTAAGAGCCAGTAGCAGCTCTGTCACATCCAATGACCTGGACTATCTTGTCACTGAAATGATGTTTTTTTTGCTGACCTAAAGTGTCAGTCCATCTCTCTGCCTCCCTATGAAGGCAACATAAACAGACACTATTCTCTTCAGTTCAAAGTGATATGACCGAGGGGAAGTGGCAGATTCAAGGTTGTGCAATTATCATAGATAGAGTTAAAGTTAAAACAAAAAGCAAAAGATTATCACTCCTTCCCAGAATTTTTAACCAATATAAAATGAGTATCATCATTTTTACACTTAAACAGATTGGCTGCAATTTAATTCAGGTTCTCAAGACAGAAGTTACTGTGGAGAGTTTTTGTTTCATGAACCAACTGCTCTACTTTACTCGTCTCTTTAAGGACAAGTGACTGCTCAGTGACTCCCTAGCCCATATGAACAAACAAACAGGGCTGGAGAGATGGCTCAGTGGTTAAGACAATGACTGTTCTTCCAGAGGTCATGCGTTCAAATCCCAGCAACCACATGGTGGCTCAAAACCATCTGTAATGATATCTGATGCCCTCTTATGGGGTGTCTGAAGACAGCTACAGTGTACTTACATATAATAAATAAATAAAAATTAACAAAAGAAAAGGTTTGCCACAAACAAACAAACAAACAAACAAACAAAACAGGATGGATGGGAAGGCCTGAAACCACAACATTCTGAAGATTGTAGGAGGATCAGGAGTTAGAGGTCAACCTGGGCTACACAATGAAATCAAGGCCACCCTGGGCTATGTAACAAGACCCTGTCTCAAAATAATAACAGTTAATTAACTCACTTTAGAAAGGATACTTAACTCTCCTTTTCAGGATGTAAGTGGCAGTTTGGTATATAGCTCATTGGTAGAGTGTGCCCTGGCGCATACAAAGTCCTGATTTAGTTCCCAGCATGGAAAAACAAAACAGGAAGGAGTGAGAGGAGGGAGGAGGGGAGAGGAGAGAAAGAGGAGAGAAGGAAGAGAGAGAGGAGGTATAATAACCAGTAAATGAAATATACCGAAGGGATGCCATTTCATAAATCCACGGCTGTCTGCAGCTCCATCTTGGTGTGAATCGGTTGTTGAAAGTGATCATAGACCAACAGACCAGTGTTACTCATTGTGTACGTTCGTGTGTGTGTGTGTGTGTGTGTGTGTGTGTGTGTGTGTGTGTGTTGAGACAAGGTCTTACTTTGTAGACCAGGCTTTCCTGGAACTAAACTCCCTATGTAGCACAGGCTGTCCTGCAAACTGACAGAGATCAACTTCCTGCCTGAGTGTCCAGGCGTACACCACCACAGCCTCACTGGATTGCTTCTTTACACGTAAGCCTGAAAGTAAATTCCCAATCTGCTCCAGAATGAACTGAGAAGCTGTCTTAAAATATAGAAATACTACTCTGGCTACTGTTTTCAGGAACAACTAATGTACATTGAAGCTGGTGGAAAGTTTTCCTAGTCAATTAAAAAGAATCCATTGCATAATTTACAGACTCAACAATTCGTGCCACCATGTAACAAACACAGCTAGTGGTGAGCTTCACTTTGGATCTGGGTCTCTGTGAGCTATAGTTTCACATCGTCAAAGTAAGCTGAGCTTTGAAGAGGCCTACAAGAGCTTTTGGGTGGATACCAGCCCTCATTTAAGAAGCAAGGCTGGAGGAACTGTTTGGTCACTTCCATATTTTGAACCATTTCAGAGTTATTTTAAAACATTTGTTTTGTTTTTTAATCTCTGTTGACTTTTGCATGTATTTTGTAACATAGAAAACAGTCATAATTCTGATGTGCAAATTAGAAATAAGTTAGAAATAATTTCTTCCTCAATTTTTTTTTCAGAGCTCTTACTTCGCAAGCCTGAGGATGAGGTTAGAAACCCCAGGTAAAACCTGGGGAGGCATATGGCCTGCCTGTGCCCCAGTGCTCAGAAGGTAGACAGGGATTCCCAGGGCACACTGGCTAGCTAGCTAGACTAGCTGAGCTGGTGCCTGAATCTGTGAGCCCTGGTTCTGTGAAAGAACTCTCTTCAGCAAATAAAGAGTAAGGAAGACACATAACATCAACTTGTAGCCTCCACAGATGTGCTCACTCATGCACCTTCAAACACGCATACACACAGGCATGCATACCACACACATGGGCAAAAAATAAAAGTTTACCAACCAATGCTTCAGACAGACAAATAGCACAGAGCAAATGGAACAAAGAGCAAAGAGAAACCAGCAGAAACTATTGGTGGGAAATGGGTTAGGGAATGAAAGGCCTGGTTGTTGGACAGATGCTTTCCAGAAGCATCTCCTTCCTCACACTCCCTTCACGGACTAGCTACACTACAGTATCACTGTGTTGATAAAGAAGAACATAAGGGCACTTCCAAGTGCTCCCGTGGCGAAGAATGAATTCTAGAACACAAAAAAAAGCAAGTGTGTGGGTCCATGGATCTCAGACTGAGCAACTCTGTGGAGAGGCTTGCTGTAGCAACACCTTGAGATACTAACAGTTCTAGAATGTTCTTCCTCATGTCATAAGACAAATATTGAGTCCTGTGATGGGATACCCACTCTGCTAAACTTTTCTTATTTTTTTATTGAAAATCATTTGAATTATTACTACGATCTAAGTTTCCATTTTGCTCTTCCAAATGCCATGCCTCCCCAACCAAAGCAAAAATAGAACTCTGCAGAGCCAAACAAATACATACAAGGCGAAGAAGTTCAACGTGACCATTGGTGATTTCGTTGCCTAACTTCAAAATCCATTGTTGAATCATTTCATATATATTTGCTTGGAGTGCCCTGCAGGAAGGAAGCAGACAGAATAAACACAGGAGACTTGAACAGAGTATACAAGACACCATCGGTGAGGTGAGAGGGGTCTGTTTAGCAGGACATGGTATGCACAGATACTGAGAAGTTTTTAAGAATGTAGGTAAAAGTGACTCAAGGCCATGAACTGCTTGATCGATCGGTTAGTTTGAGGCAGCCTTCCTAACTCCTAGACAGCTACCAGCTAGCACAATCCACAGGAAACAGTGTACACTCTACCTGCAATGTTTCTCTCCACTATAAATGGGCATGCCCCTTCCTCCACTCCTAGGCTAGGAGGACCGTTTTATATAATGCTAATTAATTGTAAAACCCTTTCAATGATTGGTTTCCAGCATGGAGTCAGCATGATTCATTTCTCCTCAATGAAAATGATGAGAGTTAATTTTGGAAAACAAAACTATTGAAGGCTTCCAAAAATGATGTAGAAAGAAAAATGAAGAAAAGGTCAAAGAAACAATGGCTGTAAACAACCCAATTTTATAGCAAAACAATTAACACAGAAGGTTCAGCAGAGTCTCCGAGCAGAATAAACAGAGAGAGACGCTGCATCACAAAGCACGTCTCAATTCATTTAAGGGCAAAAATAACACAACACAACTGAATGAGACGACAGTCAACAACGGGAAAGAAAGAGGAAACTCAAATCTGACATGTAAATGGCAAGTGGGTCAACAAATTAGTTCAAGACTAATCATCAAATGCTTTGAGTTAATGCAAATGAAGAGACACCATTCTGTAACTCATAAGTCCTTAGAGGGGAGTTCATGACTTCAGATATTAAGAAATAGCAAGGGTTTCAAATTTATGACTTACCAGTTCACCTTAAGACTATGTCCCTGAGTGGCAGACAGGATACTTGCCCCATGTGTACAAGGCTATGGGGTGGGGGGAAGTGCAGCACTAAAAACTAATACAATAAAAAGCAAAATGAAGGGAGATCCTGGGCGGCAGCTCTGTACCCAACCTCACAAAACCCAGAGGAAGAGGGCCTCCCAGGAGCTCTAACCCGGGCAGTATCTCAGAAAAGATAATTAAAAATAGTCACTTTTTAAAAAAAAGCAAAATGAAAAAAAATAATGATAATTGCAATAGAAATCAATACCACAGAGCACAAAAAGTCTTGAGAAATCAATTAAACCAAAAGGTGGTTCTTTGAAAAAGATGTCTTAGGGTTTCTCCTGCTGTAATGGAACATCATGATCAACAGCGGCGTGAGGCGAGAGATTCTTTCAGCTTACAGTTGTAATCCATCCTTTAGGGAAGTCAGGGCAGGAATCTGGAGACAGGAACTGTAGCAACAACTATGAAGGAAGGCCACCCACTGGCTTGCACCCTGGGTCACCCATATCAATCATTAATGGAGAAAATGCCCTGTGGACTTGATACAGCCCAATCTTACAAAGTTATTTTCTCAGTTGAGAGGCCTTCTTCCCAAATGACTCCAGTTTGTCTCAAGTGGAGCTACAGCTGTAAGCTGAAGGGACCCTCTGCCTCAAGTTGCTGTTGGTCATGATATTTTATTATAGCAAGAGAAACCCTAATTAACACGTCCTTTTCAAAGAAACACCTTCTGATGTAAAACTAACCAACACAAGACACACTTAGCTAGAGTTACCAAGAAAATCAGAGGCTGTTAGAACCTTGTTCTCTGTGCAGTAATATTAAAGGGCAGAAGAACTTGGGGCTGAAGAGATGGCTCTATTGTTGCTTTCTGCTCTCCCTGGGGACTCAGGTTCAATTCCCAGCACCCACATCATGGCTCACAACTGTCTGTAACTCCAGTCCCATGGCATCTGATGCATTCTTCTGACCTCCATAAGCACCAGGCACCCAGACATACATGTGGGCAAAAAAGTCATACACATAAAATTAAAACAAAATATTTTTTAAAAGTAGTAGAATCTTTGAGATTTAGATATGAAGGCAAGGTCTGTTAGACCCTTCAAGGAATGTACTGGAAAAAATGTTTAATAGTCATTAGAAGAGATGGCTGGTGCCTGGCATTTCTAGATTTGATAGCAAAGTAAAATTTAGAACTTTACAAATCAGGAGAGAAATACCAAAAATGTTGAGGAGTGCTAGCCTGGATGTGGAAACACAACTCAATATAACCTCAGAGAATCTGCACAGTGCTTCTAGCAACAGTCACTTTAGAGAAAAGCAGAGAGAGAATCCAACAGGGGATACCTAAGGGCCACATGCAGAAAGAGATGTCAGAATTCTGTAGGGCTGCTTCAGCTACGGAATGCCCTTTCAAAAAGGGCTGAGCTGGCATCGTACAGCCTGGGGTCCACTGTGAACTTCCCTCTCTGGAAATGCAGAGCAAATAATTTGGGAGTATGTAATGGATCCAGGATAGCAAGAGACTGCAAGGTGGAGATGGATCTTTCTTTGAATTGGTAATTGGCAAAGGGGAAACTCAGCCAGAGCCAGAACCGGAGCCAGAGCCTGCAGAACTTCAGCACAGATTAGAACCAAGATGACTGAGGACACAAGGGCAAGGCACTTGCAACAGGTCACCTGAAGGACATCCCAGCGGTGTTTGGGACATCTGAGACTAGATCTGTAAAGTGCCACATACGGACCAGACATGTCCTGTAATCTTATCTCCCAAAAGAAAGTGCCCAGGTGAGAAGAGGGTCATTCAGAGGCACAACAGGCTTTCTGGTGGCCTGGGAAGGACAATCAAGAGGCTCAGACAGGAAACTGAACCCAGCAGACCTCAAGCAGGCCAAAATGCTTTCTGTTGAAGCCTGCTCCCCCAGCAGAGCTGTAGCCATTTTATTCCATGCCTGCCAGTCATTTCATATTGCTACTGACATGGAAAAGCAGCTTGGCTCCGAGCAGGGTCAAGCTGACCACATACCCTGTTGTGTTCTGAGGTTTGTTAATGGTAAGAAATGCCACAACCATAGGCTCCACTTAGGACCAATCAGAATAAAGATCAGTTAGAACTGTTCTGTCTAGCTAGCCAAAATAGCCTGAGTCACAGCCAACTACTGGGTAGTGCTTCCTGAACCTGCACTTGAGCTCTTTGTAGTTTTGGCCTATATAAACTGGCCCTGAGAAATATTCAGGATCGCAGGTTAGCTCCCAAGTCTAGACTACATCCATGATCAATTAGTCTTGGGGTGCACATCCAATAAATCAGCCCTGTTTAACTGAAATCGGTATCTGAGTGGTTTGTTTGGCGATTCCCAGACCTCAACACTTTCCCAGTGTGTACACTCACCCAGCTTTCTCCCCTCCACGGTTAATAATCACTATCAGTTGAGCAAGACAGCTCCATGTCCCTCTATCGTGGTTTGAATAAGAATGGTCCCTGCAGGCTCCTGTATTTTAATGCTAAATCATCAGGGAGTGAAAAGATTTGGAAGTGTAGCCTTGGAGGAAGTGTGTCACTGGGGCTGGGCTTTGAAGTTTCAAAAGCCCATGCCAACCCCAAGGTTTCCCTCTTTGCTTGCAGGTCAGGATGCAGCGCTCAACTATGCCAGTGCCATGCCTGCCTGCACACTGCCATGCTTCCCACCATGACAAGGAACTAAACCTCAGAAACTGTAGCCCAGCTACAATTAAATACTTCCTTTATAAGACTTGCCTTGGTCATGATATCTCTTCAGAGCAGTAGAACAGTGATTAAAACCCTTACCATTCTTTTTCGTCTTCCTCTCCCAGAGAACAAAGGCTGTCTGGTCTGCAGCACCTGTGTCTCATCCATCTGAAAACTAGAGATATCCTTACCTGATCACCTCTGTACATCTCTTTTGTCAACCAACCCTCAGACAAAATGGGCTCATGCTCCTCCTTTGCCCTTACTGTTCTCTATGTCTCCTTCTCTACCTTTTTGTCTCTACAAAAATAACTGCTAGTGTTACCCTGAGGGTTTTTTCCCTTTCCTTTTTCTTTTCAACTCCCAAATACAGTAACTAATATTAGTCAATGGACACAATACTATCACAATACCTTCTCCTAAAGGAGTGTCTTAGTTAGGGGTTGCATTGCTGTGAAGAGGCACTATGACCAAGGCAAGTCTTATAAGGAGAACATTTAATTAGGACTGGCTTACAGGTTCAGAGATTCAGTCCATTATCAAGGTGGAAGCATGGCAGCATCCAGGCAGACATGGTACAGGAGGAGCTGAGAGTTCTAAATCTTCATCTGAAGTCTCCTAGGAGAAGACTGGCTTCCAGGCAGCTTGGTGGAGGATCTTAAAGCCTACATACACAGTGACACACCTACTCCAACAAGGCTACACCTACTCCAACAGGGCCACACCTCCAAAGAGTGCCACTCCATGGGCCAAGCATATTCAAACCACCATAGTGAGGCACTTACAAGATAATTTTTTTTAAATACTACTGTATTTAGATAGTGGGTCTAGATTTGATAGTGATTATTTTTGCAGACAGTATTTCTTTCATGTGAACTGTTTATAAGGGAGAAATGCAAAGAGATAGAACGCATATTAGTGGTTGAATAGGGATATAGGTGAAGGGATGTAGCCTAAATAGGTTGTATGGTTTGTCTACGTTTGTTTGGGGTTTTTTTTTTTTCCTCAAGGTTTTGAAAGCTTAGCTTTTCACATGGTCATGAAACCTTTAAGGGATAGGGCCTACTAGAAAGTGATTAAGTTACTGGGGTGCTCTCAGGAGACTGTGGACAGTTCCTATAAGAGGGAGTTGCTGGAAAAGAATGAGCTGAATCCCTCTGGCTTGTCAGGTGATAACCCTCCCTCGAGCATGCATCCCTGCCATGATGTCATGTGTTATAGAGTCAATGCCATGCTGTTAAAGACTTTCAGCTTCCAGACTGTAAACAAAAATAAGCCTCTTCTGAATAAGCAGTCCAGCTACTGGTAATTCATGAGAGTTACAGAAAGCTTTTCACTATAACATACAAAGCTTCTTTTTGAGAAGAGTGAAAGAAATGTTTAAAGTTGACTACAGTTGCCCATGTTCATAAGTACAGTGAAACGGCTGACTTATTTATCATATTACGGCTTCAGAAACATCCATCCCAAAGAGAAAAGCCTGGGAACTTACGAGCCAGAATCCATCTCCATGCCCTGTGGAACGGAACCAATAATGTTTAACAGTGCATCCAGCTGAAACTTCATTTCATTAATCTTTTCATCAATTTCAAGCCACTCGTCAAGGGGCAGTTTGGAAAGACCTATTAAGTTTTCTAACTTGAAAACACACATGTCTAAAGAAATGACCAAGTTTGGAAGAACTTTGGAGATACCTAGGAAAGTGGGGAGAAAAAAAATATTAGCAAACTCTTTGTGATACCATTGTTTCATTACTAAGAGTATAAAATCTAGGTGAGAAAAGACCTTCTCTTGTCTATCATCTACCAGAGAACCTCGAGAGACACACAAGACACCCAAGGACCAAGTCTTCAGCACAAAGATGTATTTGGCCCAGAGGGACCAAAGGGTAGGGGATAAGAGAGAAAAACAGGAGACAGAGGGTGAGGGAGGGCAAGGGAGAAAAGGAACAAGGAGGAGGAGGGATTTTGGAGGGAGGCGGTGGCGCAACAAAGTATTGCCTCTAGATAGAGAGAAGACAGATGTGGTACATAAAAAAATAGCAGTTTATAAAGGTTAAAAGGGAAACCCAGTGTTAGAATGGGGTGCTCATTTTAAGTGGGTGTGTTAATTAGATGAGCCAAAGGGGGCTTTTGATTGCTGGACTTCAATACTTTGATAGCTGGACCTTGGTAGTCAGCCTTAGGAAAAGAAGTGGACAAATAAGAGACCAGACCTTGAGGGCTAGCTTTAGGAATGCAATCTAAAGGTTTAGCAAGGCAGAGGAAATGGAGGAGGGTAAGGCCTGTCAGAGCCACACTGGCCAAGCTTGAGCTACTAGAGCCCTTCAGTATGTATCCAGTGGGATGATGCTTTGATGAGTTCAGATTCTAACTTTCTTGTTTTCTCCATGGAGAATCCCAGCCAAAAATGACTAACTAGAATTTTCTTTCTGAAGAGAACAGCAATGATAAGCAACTTCTCCCTGGGACAGTTAATGACAGGTGAGAGTAGACAGGGTCTGAATCCACTTCTGGGTCAGCAAACTAGTCTTTGTAAAGTCCATAGTTTCAAGCCATGGCAACCAACTACACCCCAAAGCCCCCTGAAGACCAGAACCTGGATCCCACTGTTAACCCAGTAGATTACTTCACTGTGAGATCACAGAAAAATACCTTCTCTGTGTCTGATATTGGTTTTTGAATCATGAAGTGAAAACACTGCCTTCTTAGACCTAAACAGAGAAGTAACTACAAGCCAGCTTTTTATTGCATCCTTGATGGAAACATTCGCACCCCATTCATCAGTGATTCTACTAAGAAGCAGATGGTTGGGCTGGAGAGATGACTCAGAGGTTAAGAGCACTGACTGCTCCAGAGGTCTTGAATTCAATTCCCAGCAACCACATGGTGGCTCACAACCATCTGTAATGGGATCTGATGCCCTCTTCTGGTGTGTCTGAAAAGAATGACAGTGAATTCACATGCATAAAATAAATAATAAAATAAACCTTAAAAAGGAAGAGGAAGAAGAAGAAGGAGGAGGAGGAGGAAGAGGAGGAGGAGGAAGAGGAGGAGGAGAAGGAGAAGGAGAAGAAGAAGGAGAAGGTAAAGGTGAAGGAGAAGAAGAAAGTCTGGTAAACATACTAGACTTCCACTGAACCCCTAATCCACCACATTTAGAATACAGTGGATTCGGATTAGAGATAGATTCATCCTTGCAATGACTAGAGACAGGCTTCATTTCAACTCAGTCTCTGTTTGAAAAAAAGGTGGTCTGCTTTAGCCCTAAATGACTGGCTATGGGGTAGGGGTGCTATAACACTCAAGAACAATTTAAAATTGATACCAGAGTCTCAGATCATCTATAGAACTTTCCAGATACATAGTGTCAGTATTTAGTCAGAATATAGCTCTCAAAAAGAATTGGCTCAAAACTATGACAAAAACAGAAGTTATTTTGAGAGTCCTAAAGAAATAGAGAAATAGATGTGGCCCAATTATCATAGTTTTAAATCTTAATAGTTATTAAGTTTGAAGTTCCTAGGGGTCAAGGATGAGAATTGTTGGCAGAGTAGTTGCCCAGCATGTACAAGGTTCTGTTTGACCCTTAGCACTGGGAATAAAACGACTGCTATTATTAAATGATAAAATTGAAAAATTTGGTAAAGAAGTAGAAACTCTTAAAAGTTTATAAACCCAAGGACTAAAAAAAAAAAGCAATAAATTGAAATGAAGACAAAGGACCTTTAAACAGAAGAAAAAGCAGAGTGTGGTGGCATATACTTCCAGTCGTCACAGTGCGGAGGGAGAAGATCTCAGTTAGAGGCCACCTGGCAAGCTCCAGGCCATCCAGGACTACAGAGTAAAACTCAGTCTCAAAAAAACAAAACAAAACAAAACAAAAAACAACATCAACTAAGAGAAATCTTCAGCAATCACTACTGTAAGAAATACTTACAAAGAGAGGAAATAGAAAATGGGGACACATAAATACAGGAAGTAGCCACGTGACAAGGAAGGTCTTTTTCCAAATACACAAAAGGGAAAAGCTAGTTACTCTTCAATCACAGACTAAAGTCTTAAAGAAATAACAAGCACTGGGTATGGTGACACATATATTTTATCCCAATAGGAGGATCTCTTAAGTTTAAAGCCAGCCTGGTCTACATATTCGTTTTTAGGACAGCCAAGCCTACTTAATTAAAAAAAAGAAAAAAGATGAGAAGGAAGAAGAAGAGGAAGAAGAGGAGGAGGGGAGGAAGAAGAAGAGGAGAAGGAGGAGGAAGAGGAGGAGGAGGAGGAGGAGGAGGAGGAGGAGGAGGAGGAGGAGGAG